ATGTATCCTAACTTCCCGATTTCTCACCCACAGTGGGCGCATCCATTCTCAGTATCAGCTCTTTTTTAATTTTACTATTGTTTAAATTATGGGATTATTCAAGTCTTTGTTCAATTTTTTGAATACTGTTCGATCTTTACTCATATTTTGCATAATTTCGGGACGACAACTTTTTATTCAACTGTATCATTAAATTTGAAATAGATGTTTCGTAGTAATGTCCTAAAATTTCAAGTGCTAATAGTAATATTAATACAAAAACTAGGATCAGGTTTTTATGCAAAATTATTTTAGAATATGACCATATTTGTATAATATGCATAAAAAAATGTATTATATAGGTGGAGTATTGTGCATACAAGTATTTTGATTATTTTATAATGCATTTATTAAGAAACAATTGAAATGCCATTAATATATCAAATTATAAATGTATAATTGTATAATTGAGCAAAATTTAGATTTTTTTTAATAAATAATTAATGTTTGTACAATATTGTAACTATCTAGAAATGTAGCATAATTATTTTTACTCAAATAAGCAAAAAATAATATATATATATATATTTAAATACATAAACATATACTTATGAATTAAACAAAATATAATTTATTAACTATATAATAGTAATATATTTTACACAAAAAATCGGGTCCTTATGAAATCTTATAAGATTTATATTTTAGATTCTGAGCATAGCAAGGAATGTATCGGTTTTACTATGTTTATTTTTTTTATGATATTTCATTATTGTTAGGGTTTATCCCAAACTTTACTATATTAAGTGCTGTAACTAAATATTTATGTATACACATATATGAATACATATATTCATGTATTATGACTTATTTTAATTTTTTTTATTTATTTAATATCAAGTGTAGCTACATGTAGTTTCCATTCTACAATTTACTATTGAATTAATTGTAGTAATTTATTATTGTTTTAATACCTATTATTTTTCCAATGGAATGAAAAAAATCTTCTTCCTTTAAATATTAACAAATGTCAAGTAATCTCTTTTACACGTAGTAAACATCCAATAATATTTCAGTATCAAATTAATAACTATTCTCATGGTATAGTAAATTCGATTAAATACTTGGGTGTAAACTTTTAAAATCATATAAAATGTTAGTTTTTATGAATATAAATATAAAATAGTTAAAAAATACTATCTAGAAATTCGTTGGTACCAACCGGTTTACCGAAAACATTTTTTACCGGTTTACTAACACTTGATACCGATTTTACAGTAGTATAGATATTAAACGATTGAAATCGGTGTATTCCGATAATTTTCCAAAATAAACAATGATAATACTATCAATTAAATATTAATCAATTATATAAATTATTAGTGTATTACACTCCCTATTTCCCGCTAATAAGTACTTGATAAAAATTATTTTTAATAGGTTGTTATCAATTAAATTATTATTTATCTGTTCGTTTATCATCTCAAGGGGGAAATGAGAGAGGCTGAAACCGATGTAAAGAGTTTGCACCATATGCATCTGATGGTGCATACAAATTAAACCGGTATCGTTAATTTTAACACCGGTTACTCCAAACAATTTCTCAAATTCACACCGGTTTGTACCAACGAATTTCTAGTATATACTTCAATACTAAGATTTAACCCCGAATTATCTTATTTGAGAAATTATCACTTATTTGATCTTGTAATTATTCAAAATATATAAATGATCTTGATAATATCCAATATACATTTTTAAAGATGATTGCTTATGTTTCCGATAAATATATATATCACCAGAGATATCGTTGTCTATTAATTTTGTTAAAAACTTCTTGAGCTACACTTACTAAGAGCAAGATAACAGATACTATGTTAGTATACAATATTTTAAACAACTTCATTTACTGTACTGAGCTATTGACTGATATTGGTTTCTGTATACCTTGTAGAAACGCTAGGATTTTAAAATTTATTCGTAGTTCCTAATTATAATACGAACAGTGAAAATAATATTTTTTATGATTTTTCTGTCTTAGACTTATTTTATATCTATACTATAAAACATAATATAAACAAAATAGAATAATATCACGATAATGGCTAATAATTAACCATGGTCACAATATTAAATCATAGATATGTACAATAAATTTATTGTTCTATAGATAGAATATTAAAGTAAACATTAATATTACGGATAAAGATCTATAACTGTGGTTCATGGTTACAACCATATGTAACCGCAGTCTTGAGGGTTTGATTAAGTCATAGACCTATGGATAAAATATGATTTCGGCATGACAGTAAGTAAAGTGTTATAATCACAATCTACTAATCTTAAGATAGTATTTTGAATCAAGGTTGTACCAAATCACGAATCGGCCTAATCATATGACGTTAGGTTAGACGTCGTTTGTATGTAGTGGAGATTATCAGTTATCACCTTAATACCCTGGAGACTTTTAAACTTGTTTTTGTTAAAAACTCGCGGTGTAATACTTAAAACTGTCGGTGTAACGAACTGCGCCCAGAATTTTAATTTTACACCACTACTCTCTCCCCGCCCAAAACTTAAAAGTGAAATATCTCGTCAATGGGTAGACGGAAATCAAAAATTGAATCAAAAATGGCTGAAAACTTAACACAAGTTAAACAAATTTGATTTTATTGCATTTTTTCTTTTTTATTCGTATCGCTTTAAAATTATATTTTGACGAAAATCGTAAAAATCACGGCATTTTAAAAGAATATATCTTACGGAACTTCGCTCCAAACCGTTTATCGTTAAAAATGGTTTATCATTGAATACAGATACTAATTAAATGACTTTATCCATCTTACCTTTCCAACTTCTCACCTCCAACAGTAGTTGTACTTATCCCCAGTATCAGCTCTCGTTTTTTTTTTTAATTTTGACAAAATAGTCGCAAAATAATAGACCTAAAATCGTTTTAAAGAAAAGGAAACTTTTCTCAAGAGTCATGATTGAAAGCACCTGTACATATAAGAAGCCGTACACTTTTTCTCATTTCTCCCCTCTCACTCTCTCACTCTCTCTCTTTCTCTCCATGTATCTCGTAGTTTTTTCATTTATTGACAAATATACTATATGAGTATAGTGAGTTTTTAAATTAATCGTTTCTTATTAGTTTTTTAGCGGACATATTTTATTATACAATGAATAATGATTTTAAGTTCTATACCATTCTGATGAACAATGAGTCGTAAAACACGACTTTCGTTTTATACAAATTTTCAATTAAATATGGTGGCGGCGTAGTTACCTGCTTATATTCATTCATTGTCTATATGAATTTTATTAATTAAAATCGAAATGGTACTATATAGCACTATACTCCTGCAGTTGTTCAATGATAATTTATAGTTTTTATTGTATAATGGACTTTTAATTTTCATTGTGCCAAATTTTTGATTTATAAAGATTTATATGTACATAAATATGATAAAATATATAATTATGATTCTTTTTTTATGGCATATTTCATGGTAATGGTGTACAAAAAATTAATAACATACTACGAAATAAAATAAAATTGATATTATAATTATGAGCTTAGTGCTATAAACGGATAGCAAAGATCACGTGACCAATCTAGCGCTTCCTGATCGCTTTTATATAGTCCTGATGTTCTTCCTCTAAACATTGTTTCCGAGAGTTTCTCAACAATATGGCCAAATGATTTGGGCCTGACTACAGTTTGCAAAACGGCGAATCTACCATTCCCCATTTATGTATTAAATAATTGCACCTACCCTGTCCGGTTCTTATGTGATAAAGAGCAGTCCATAATACACGCGAGTACTTGAAACCTGGAACTAATTGGGTTGGATCACTCATAAAATGATAATTATGATACAAACTACGTCCATACTACGCACTATGTGTAATAATCGACTTTCTTAGGAGGTTAAGTTAGGTTAGGTTGCTATGGAAGTTGATCCAAATTTGTATTCTTAAGTTATTATTAAGTCTATGTTGAAACAACACCGTATGGAGGCAAAAATGCCTCTTTTATTTCAATATTTCATTATTTTTTTTTTTATCTGTGAACAATTTTTCTACCAGGAGACTCGCTCAGATTTTTAAGTGTAGCACCTATTTTGAAAGGAAATCGGTGTGGAAAGGTATTATAGGTAGGTTATTTTTCGATTTTATCAGGAACTGTCTTATCAAATCTGAGAAACCAAAAAAAAAAAAAACAGAAAAAACGTAGGGAAATTGGAAAATTCGGTACTACATTAAAAAAATTATTATTAAAGAAAATATATAAAGCCTATTAATTAAATATAATTATTTTAATATAAAATGACATATATTATTTACAAAGTATCATTATCAACAGAAGGATCGTTTTTTTATAAGCAATGGATTATCGTTACTTGCAGGTATATATTAATTAATTATCTGTAAGAGTGGTTACATATTTCCCAATTATCTTAGGACGTCTTTTTATAATTGCTTGTTGATTGTAAAATAAACGATGGCGACCTATCACCTGTACTATTGTCCATGGGAAAAGTTTCTGGTGGCAGAATTATTGTCGGTGCCATAAATAAAAAATGTAGGTTGCTATGCAGCTCGGTTGCTAAGTAGTTAATCTTGACGCAGCGTGATTGCTTAATTTGATCAGGATCCTGGTTTTCTAGAACCTGAAGACAAGACTAATATGCAGTTTGGGCTTTTACCTGGACGCCTTTGACGCCTCGTTAGTTAGACACAGGCTTATAACAGAGACGCCTAATAACTTAAACCATTATGGGCACCCATACCTGTTTCTTTACTGCTAATGTAAGCAAAAGCTCTTCTAGCTCTTTCCTAGTAATAGACAGAGGGCTACATGTGCTGTCTCAGAAAAGGCATTGGCCCCAGATGGACAGACCTGAGGCCGGCGAGTCGTACGCGTCCGTTGCGAGAAAACTTAAGACGGGAATGGACGTCCGGGTTCTTGCACTGGATATCTAAGAATGAACTTTGACTCTCGAATTAATTGAAAACACTATATTTGTAGAAGAAAATAAGAAAATGCGACAACTTTATTGGTTCATCGGAAGGATTTCCGAACTAGATCTTACAAGCAATCATTTATTGTGTCTAATAAATAATGATAATCAAACCAATGTTAAAATATGGAATACAACTGTAAGGTTGTGCCAGCAAGCCCAACATTGAAATCATTCAGCACTGATAGAACATTACTCTATGTATCAACTTACCGGTATGACAGAATCGACATTATTCACCGAGATATAATGATCACCCAGGACGTAATTACCAGGTTTATCCACAAACATGAGACAAAACTGGATCAATAGACTAATTTAGTAGAAATTACACTAATCTACAACTTTTCAGGCATTTGGAGTCTCAGACGCCGAAAACAATATGACTTAGTATACTATTTTTAAACTGAGGTAGGGGTCAGTTCACTGGGAGTGAAACTTCATATTACATGTTAACTTAACCTTAACTACATGTTTTTTTTTTGTTTATATATACACCACAAGTATTCATATACACTTTTGAAATGTATTGCTAATGATCTTAGATAATTGTAATTAAATCTTTCATTTGTTTAATCAAAAAATTAATAAAAAAAAGCTATCCTAAGATAATGGAAACGGGTGCAGCCACCGTTATAGGTGAGAAGTTAGAAATCCAGGTTATGGACAATTATTTAACATAAATTCATAAACAACGATAAACTATTGCTAATAAAAAAGCGATTCTGTGGAGAGTTAAGTTAATATTCTTGCTTTGTCAACAATATATATGTCATATTTTAGCAAATATTTTCATTAATAATATTTGTTTAATATTATAACTATTTTATCGGATTTCCCGGTTTTTATTATGCTTTCTATTCTATTGGCTTTCTAAATAAAATTACCTCATTAACGTACCTCCCTAGTCAAAGTTCCTTTCAGAAAAAGTGCTACCATTGAATATTTGAGGACAATTGCTGATGGAAAAGTTGTCCGCAAAAAAAAAAAAATATAAAAATAAACATCACTGTAAAATAATAAGCTTCTTCGCTCCACTCAGAATGTAAAGTAATGTAGATTGACGGTGTAAGTAAATTTGACTGAATATTACAAGGTATAATTCATATATGATCTTGCATTGTTTACGAATTTTATGAATGAGAAACGAAATTTTAATTTCAATAATAATTCTGTTTGATAGGCTAGAAATACGATCAATGTGTGCTTATTGAGTCACCGTTCCAGCGCCGCATGTTTAGCAACAGACTTTGGATCTGGTCGACGTGACGTTAATTATAATTACCTGCCGACTACGTGCACACACACGCACACACACGTATCATTGATTAATTTGTTTAATATGATTCAATACTATACTGTTTATATTTGCCATCACCACACGTCAGACTATCAGGTATTTGTATATTAACAATATTGTTTTTTTTTTGTGCTACTGCCGTCGACTCACCATTCTCAGTTCAGTCTTACTGATACGTTCCGGGCGCACAGCCTGTCCCATATGCATATAGATGTTTTGTGTAGGCACCTATCTAAGATTTTTAATAAATACTATGCTATTCGAATAATTTTTCGTTTGTGCTATATTTGATACATTTGAGCAAATTTTCTGTTTGAAAAGTTGTTCACAGACACAAAAACAAAATAAGAGCTAATACTAAGGACAGGTGTTGCCACTATTTAAGGTGGTTAGTTAGGAAGGTGGGATACATTAAGTTGTTTAATTTTTACCAGCCACCGGCGGTAAATCATTGCTAACGATTCTAAGCGGAGTTTGATTAAATATGTTTTAAAAGACCGTGATATTTAGATTTTTGGAAAAAAATAATTGTAAACTCTTATATAAAATAAAATTACTACATAACACTCAATCTTTTATTATTTGACCACTAAGTATGACTTATAATGAACCTCCTGTCAATTTGTCAAGCATTTCTGTTTAGTTTAACAATTTTATAAACAGAGTACCTAACAAATACAAATTACGTAACAAAAAATGGGTCAAATGTTTGAACATTTACTACATTTATGAAATCCAAATATACGAGTAAGTTTGTCTCTATGATTATTTTGAACTAAATTGCAATAAAAAAAAAAAAAACAAATATAATTTTGATCGTAATTATTTTACTATCCGTATTTTTAATTCTATACTTAAATCTGTATAATAAACATAATATTTTACCAAACATATGTTTTAATAATATTTTTCTACTCTCAATACCCATACACGTTTGTAATTTAAATAAATTAAAAATATTAAATTTATTAAACAATATTTGTTGTAGATACTGAATACTGTTTTTCTATACTCTTGTGTGCTTGTTTCGCATATACGGAGAGCCGTCCATATGTTTGTTTTTCTTTTTTTATTATTATTTTATAGAATTGACATAAAAATACCAATATATTCGTTATATGAATATAAAATGTATTTTATTATTAGGATTACAATTAGATAAATCTATGTTTAAAATAATATTGGCTTTAAACTGATAAAGTTATAGTAATAATAAAACAATAAATAACGCCAATCACATTCAAATTTAACTATGGTAATAATGATATTAATTTTATTTGTGTATTAATCTTGAAATTTAAACGAGGTTTGATAAATCCTATATTTTTTTTCTCAAAATAATATGCAAAAGAATACCTACAATGTATATTTATTAGCTATAGGAGATATGCGGGGTAAATATTGTTAATAATCCTACGCTATATACTTAGAAATAGATAACAATAACAATGAAACCTATATAAATATGTTCCATTCTTTCGACCTCAATTAAATTAGGTTATGTTTTATAAATAAATAAATATATTATTATTTTTAATAATAACATAGAAAACATTATTCTTGCCTAGGTTCATATTGTATATTCAATATGGTTTTTAAAATGTGTTCTTTGTTATGGTAGTAGTAATAAAAAAATAGTAACTATAATAATATAATGCACCTGTATGTATGTATACAGGGTAATTACAGTACATATTACGAATACGAAGTAAATAAAAAAAAAAAATTTATGTGTAGTTTTTATACGATAACCGGATATTACAATATTAAATTTTAATATTAACAACCGTCAGTATTATTACATATATACATTATATAAATGGTAATAAAATGCATATAAAGGGTCCAAAATTATGATTATTTACATTTTCACAAATTATTAAATCAAGAAACTGAATAATGACATGGTTTTAAACTTAAATACATTTTTTGTTATCACTTTTTCCGCAAAATAATTTAAATTAACGTTTAATTGTAACTTAGAATCATATAATTATCATTAAATTTGAAATTCAATCATAGAGCTCATTCTCAAATCATTCGAACACATTTTTTGATACATCCGAGATTAATTAAAATCGAAAATTTGTATTTTGATTTCAATTTTCAAGTCCTGATATTTAGTAATATTGTTTTTCTTGATCATGAACACTAGATTTGTTCTCTACTACTCGTACTATAATACTAAATAAAAATAATACGTGATTATGCAAATTAGATCCCAACTATTAATATTTATTATTTAATATTCATAATTCATGGTAGGCACGAGGTGGTGGTGCGGAAGGTACCTATTACCAATTTAAACTATACTGTGGTATCTATTAATAATGTCAATATTTGATTAATACGTATTTTGTTTTTTGCTATCACCTAACCAGTGGTGATATAAATTTCGCACATGTGCATTTGTCGTTTAAATTAAAATTAGTAAAAACTAATATCGATAAGCGAAATTTAAATTAAAATCGAAAATATTTATTTCGAAAGTCCTGACTTAAATTACTTCAAATAATATTTATTATCGTTTGAAATATATAAAATACATTTTCAGAAATATTTTGTTTCATCTCTTGAAAAACGATGGTCTGTGCGGCAAGCACATTAACGATTTTGTTATTTTTCAAATGCAATTTTTTTGTCTTCCTGTATCGTCGTTATCTTATCAGACTGTACTAACCTCTATATTTGTTTGTTTTGAAGGTAAAGATATTATATAGAGACTGTTAAACAAAAAAATTATTATTGTACACTGAATAATGTGAGAGAAGCGTACTCATGTTATTTTTATAATATCTATATAATGTGTACGTTTACTGTGTTCTCAATTTTATTGTAAATACCATCACGTAAAAATTGATAATATAAAACAAATATACAAGTTAAAGTATTTTTATAAGGTTTTAAGTAACCTGGTGCCATTTTGTAAAAGAAATGTTTGAACATTTTTTTCTAGATTTAATATATATTTTCTTGAGTGCGTTTAAAGTTTAAACTCTGATGGAAATCATAATCAAGGTATTTCAAAACATGTTTACCCGAACTTCACTTAGATTCGTTTTTTATTTGTGATTTATCGTTACGTACTGATATAAATTAAAAAACTTTATGTATCCTATTTTCCAAACACATTCCACGTACATCAGTGATACACCTATTTTTTGTTTGTTTCCAAAAATAATATTTTTAAACGAATTATTTTAAATATTTTAATCTATTTACATATCATTTTATGGCGAAGTTCACGATTCATCGTTTCCATAATATGTACGGGAAATACCGCTCGTTCTCAGTAATTGAGTTTGCGGTAATCATTAATCGGTAGTTGGTGGGAGTGTTGGGGGTTGACACAGGGTGCGTGGGGCGTGGTTGACGGTTAGCAATAATAAATCAAAATAATGATAATAATAGTATATCCGTGAATAGTATTTAACGATAGGATAAAACGCTCGTATTTTCAAACAAAGAAACTAACGTCTTTAACAACCTCCAACCTCTGGAAAGACAACGCAGATATATCCATCATAATATTACTTCGATAATATTTATTAATTATGTTTTATCGAAATTTAAATAATTTAACGGTTAAACGGTAAAATGGTGTATTCGTTTCACTGTCGTTGTAATATGTTCGAATCACGAGCGCTTGTTCCTTTATTTTATAACGATACGTACAACACTGGGGGTAAATGCGGAGATCTTCAAGTATTTGTTCCCATAATAACATGATAATATACGCGTACGAGTAATTTAATTGCACGCACGTGCTCAGCGTGTATGGGTACCGATAAATACGACCGATGGCTGCAGGTTATAATGAAAAGGTAATTTATCCGCTAATAAGAATACTCTTTAAAATTGACTTTATCATGATGTGAGTAATTGTATAGGGTACAGTGATGAATATACTTTAAAATATAGTAATGGTAAATAATGGTGACTCGACGCATTTAGATTGTAAACCGCGTACAGTAATATAATTATTAGAGGCAACGATAATATACGTGTACTTAAAATATACGTTCGTGTATCCAACTACTAAATACTAAATACTAAAATATACTTGTATCCATTTGTGCAATAAAAGCTACACGTGTATTTTAAACACATAAACTTATACAGAGTGATCAATTTTATGTAACAGAGTACAAATTATATTAAAAAG